TGGACGTTCGCCCTCAACATCACCAGGGTCATCTCGCCTGATCTTATACCGCGATGCGTGGCATACCGGGCATGCATCCAATTTCTCGTACTCTTTGCCACAGTAGAGGATGCAGTCATTAGGACATGCATGTATCTTCTCGATTTCTAGCCCCATAGGACAGACAACTTGTTTTGCTTCGTAGGTAGTGGCAGGCAATTCATTGTCCTTCGGAAGCATCTTATTTTGGATTTTTAGTAACTCTCCAAATCCCTTGTCAGATACACCATTCTTTGCCTTTCATTGCAGCAATTCTAGTGTGGTTCCCAACTTTTTCTGCCCTGCATCACAAGTTGGGTACAGCAATTTCTTGTGATCTTCTAGCATCCGCTCGAACTTGATCTTCTCCTTTTCACTTTCACATTCTCTTTGTGCGTCACGAATGACCTGACAAAGATCATCAGTAGGCTCATCTTCTACGGCTACCTCTTCTTCAGCTTCTCCCATTGCAGTATCATTGAAGCACGCACCATCGGGAATAATATCATTGTCGCCCTATTGTTCTTCTTCACCTTCTTCCATTACAACGCTGGTTTCTCCGTGCTTCGTCCAACAAATATAGTTTGGCATGAAACCCGACTTGAACAAGTGTGAATGAAGAGTCCTTGAGCAAGGATATTCCACCGTATTCTTACATATGGCACATGGGCAGCACATGAAACCATCGTGTTTGTTTGCCTCGGCCGCACGTAACAAAGAATGCACGCCGTCAATGAACTCTTGGGAGCGGCGATCAGCATTGTACATCCAATGCCGGCTCATCTGCATTACATGACATAAATACCATATTAAAACCTAGATCATAATTAATTATTTATACAACAAGCGTGCCACCACAAAAGGTATAAATTTATGAAAGCATCGCTACAATGTAGACAATCCCAACTACCACTAAAAGAACTAAAGCTAAAATACATTTTAGGAGCACAAGGATTTCGCAACCAATCTCAACTAAAACAGACTGATCCCCCGATTGTGCAACATCTTTGGGCTTCTTCGGCTGGATCACTGCCTCATTAGCCGCCATATCTGCCTGTTGTGCAAGATATTTTTGCACGAGTTCAACATACTCTTCCTCCCAGTAGAAGCCTGAACATCGTCCACTGCTATCCCACTGAAATTAAAACAAAAAATTAGAACTTTAATCACAACCATCATGAAAATAGGTATAAACTAACCATAATCATAAAATACGATAAAATAACTCACATTATGATCCTGGACACTTGTAGAAGATACGACCCTTGTTGGGACCCTCCTTCTTCACTCGGTACTCCATCACAATCTTTGTCTCATCACGACACTTGCCGCATGGAATGAGAGGGAGGCCTACCTAAGTCGCTTTAGAAACCCATAAGAGGCCGATGACCCGAAGCAGCATTGCCATCTACTCTCTATACTCATTTTTAATACACTATAAATTTCTCATTTTATAAACAAATAAAATTAAGAAACTATAAAATTATCTATATCTCTAAACAATGAAGTGTGCTATGCATGCTAGAAATAAAAAGTGAATACTAATTTTAAATACCTACTTTAACCTTTCTTCATCCAAATATGCAAACTATAAGTTATTTTGAGCTCAAATTGTTTACAAATAAAAAACACCATAAAAACAATATATATATAGTGAACAATATGAGATAAGCCAATGATGAAAAAATGAGAGTATGAGATTGGTAACCTTTACAACCAAGAATCGAATCGGAGGAATCGACGGAGAAATCGAGAATGGATGGAAGAACAATGGAGGAGGAAGCAAGAACACTAGTGCAGTGAGCTTCAAAATGTCTTGAGCTCGGGCTCGGGGAGGAAGAAGGAGACGGCGGGATATAAAGGGAACCTTTAGTCCCGTTGGTGGCTCCAACCGGGACTAAAGGAACTTTTTCAACCCCGCGCAGCCACCACGCCCGGAGTAGACCTTTACTCCCGGTTGGAGCCACCAACCGAGTAAAAGTCTACTTTTTAGTCCCGGTTGGTGGCTCCAACCGACTAAAGCTCCCCACCACCTCATGCGGGCGCATGGCCGTTGGGCGGGGACCTTTAGTCCCAGTTGGAGCCACCAACCGGGACTAAAGGTATCTCTAGTCCTGGGCGCAAAAAATGCTGGGACTAGAGCCCATTTTGGCCGAGGATCAAAGGTCTATTCTCTACTAGTGAAGAGACCTCAAAGCTCTTTCCTTGGCCAGGCCACCCTCCAACTCTTACCAGAGCGCAACCACAGGGATTCGAACTTATGTCACTTACTTCAAAGCTGGAACAACTAGCTACCCAAACCTCCTCCCCATCCTTCAATCATCTATTATTATTATGAAGTTGGATGCAGACAAGTACAAGCTCTCCAAAAGCAAGGAAAAAAGAGACCGACATGGACTAGAGCAAAGTAAGCGCTAGATCTATTAGAAGGCAGCCATCCCTACTCACCAAAAATCTCGATTGTCGTGGTCTCCATCAATCGGCATGCCTAAAAAATGTGTTTGTCATCCTCCTTTTGAATGATGGACTAGGACACTGACCAGTAGGTCAACTTAAAAGTCACCAGCAAATAAGATTGTAATACCTTTTTTGTCAAAACTTATGTCATTTCTGTAACAGAACGCCCGATTTATTGCACAAGTACGGCGGCCACTGCTAGAACAATAGCTCGCTCACACTAGTAAAGAGAGGGAAATGATCGGAACACGGCGATGTTTCCCAAGGTATTGGAGAGTCGGCACACCCCATTAGTCCTTATTGGAGCACCCGTGCAAGGGTATCGCTCCCCTTGATCCGCGCAAGGATCAAGTGCTCTCTATGGGTTGATTCTTCATCACTCCAGCATGGTGAATCACCCAGAACTGTTTATACCATGAGTTGGGCCTCTCACAATCATCACCGAGAGATAAACAAGCTCCGAATCACCACTAAGCCGTCTAGGTGATGCCAAGCACCAAAAGTAACAATCACAAACTCTCACTTGACTGAAACAAGCCTAATGAGGAACGTGGATGCACACTTGCTGCTCCCTATGTACTGATGAGGTCCTTAATCTTGCGATTATCAAATCTCAATCACCCCACTAGGCATGAACCCCCGTTGGTCTCCAATGGATGCAACCAGCTAAAGCAAATGACAAGAGAGCTTCTTTGGATGAGTTGAAGGGGTATAAATATCCCCCAACCACCAAAGTAGCCATAGACCACTCATTACACAGAAATCGGGACCATTAGATAATCTGATGCCCTTCCCAACGGCTAGTTCTGAAACAGTCATAAACTAGTTGTTACCGCACAGTAGTAACATATAGGTCGTGCATTGGAGTAATCCGATGCCTCCATATCCTCTCTGATTGCTTTCTGCAAGGCATCAGATCAGGACGCATTACGCCGATGCTCTGCACTAATTACTCTGATGCTCCTCTACTAACCAAACCCTAACTACAAAGGGTTGTACCTTATAATCCGATGGACTAATCCGATGCTACACCAAAACCTAGACTTTGAACAACACATAGCTTATAGTCCGATGGTACCCATCGAATTAATCCGATGGTACCAAAACTGCAGCATTAACTTCCTTTTCAATCTCCTTTGCGAATGGGATTGCTTCCAATTGATTCTTGGGCCTTCTCTGAGATGCCTATTGCTAAGTTTGATAAGTGTGCACCACACCTAAACCATTAGACTCACCTAGGTCAAGCTACTAGTTTTATACCCCCTTGATAGTACGACCAAAGGAAAAACAAAGTCCTAAACTACTCTAAGTGTCTGCCAACTCCAAACGACACTTAGAACTAGTCTGTCCTTAACATTCTCATCCATCCTTTGAAACCAAAGTGAATTCCATCAAGGGGCCATGAAAACCACTGTTTGCCTAAATAATCACCATTATCGTGACCTAAGTCATATTACCTCTGCAAAACACACATTAGTCACAATACCGAAACCCATCTAGGGGCCTAGATGCCTTCAATAATACCATCCAAAGGACATCAATATTTACTCTATCTTCTGAACAACTTCCCAAGGTGAAAACTATAATTGAATCCAAATCCTTCTAGTTTCCACCTACATGACTACTACATGGTCCATATGATTACAAATTGAAGCGTTGTGATATGGTGGAAGAAGATTGTGATATTATCCAAATGTTTGACGCTGCTTACCTAAGACTATTCTTAGGTTTAAAAGGATTAGAGTCGAGGACAACTCCTTTTTAAGAAAGAGGATTATGATGAGGGCATTCGAGCGAACTAGCCATTATCATGAGTAAGGCATGGATTAATAAGCGTAAACCATGGATTAACCCATGTAATCCATGGACTAACCCAAGAACTAGTTACATGAGTCCATGGAAGAGCTATAATATATGGGATAACCCATAGTAGTTTTGCATTTTGATTTGACAAGGTTTATACACAAGTAGGCATTAGCCACGCAAGCTGAAATGTGTTACATGCAGATATCAGAAGAATATATGGGATGGAACTAGCCACCATCCAAGTCAAGATGGATTACATTGAGTACAATGACTTGTAAATGGAGGCCAATATGGACACTGACAAAGTGGTGAAACGATTGCACGAAGATGGAGAATCGAATACAATTCCCTTTTGCTCAGCTTTGTGCTAACAAACCCGGAGAAAGATTTCTACCGATTTGCTCTTATAATATCCTTTGTGGGATTTACAGAAACGACACATCATTGGCTCCCAATTGGTGCTCCTGCTCTATTATTGATTCTATGGTGTATTGGTTCGTTCTTTGATAGTGTGGTTGGGCAAATCCTTGATTGAGGTCATCGGTTAGAGATGGTAGTTGGCTTTGAATTTAATTTCTCAGGTCGCACTAGTTATCACTGCTTACATTAAGTTACCACTGTTGTTTTTCATCTGCTGATCTTGTTAATGATCCTATTCCATGAAGATTGCAACCGATAGTTATTATCAGGGTTCATGCTTCCTTTCGTTCCTAGTTCCCTTAGTTCGTGAGAGTCATAATGTTTCTACAAATTACAAGGGTCAAGTCCTCCTCTGACTGCTCTTCGTTTTCTCCTTCTAACATTTGTGAAAACATTTCCTCTGGGAGTGCTATCATTGTGTGCTTGATCCTGAAACCCACAAATCCAATGCTAGCTTTTAAGTATTATTCGTATATCACTACTTCATATCAGGAAAATGTTGTATGAGTGCAATAAAGTGCATGAAAAGTGTACCTAAGTTCCAGATCCATGATATTAATGTTTTCTCCAATTTCCATAGTCTGATTGCAAGATATTACAATGGAACCTCCAACAGGACAGAACTTCACAGAAGCAAATAGGAAGTCGAACAGGAGATTCTGCAGTAGCTGCATTAAGTACGGATTACTGAGCCTTTGCTTGCGAAATTTCTCTGCATGGTCGGTAGATACTGTGATCCCTTTTCCTTGACAAGCTGGCCATACTTCACTTGCTGCGGCCTCCACCATGTCTTGTAACACAAGTTCACCCATCTCGAAATCCATATGACTTGACCTGTGAACCCAGCAATACAATGGAACATTATTAAGACAATGGCCCTTACAACATTGATGTAAATCAGATAGAAAAATTACTAGCTTGCCATGAGGACTTAATAAAAACAAATGAAGAAAAAAATGGTACGTCATGGAGAACAAAACCTTTAACCTTTTTATCATACTTGTGTGTCGCATCTGCTTCTCCAATTCTAGCTCCTTATTTATGTGGACAGCAAACACTTGTACTATGAATTCACAGGCATGCCGTAGCGAAAAGGGGACATGTCTAGGGCTCATATGCTGGCAAACAATGAGACCCCATAGCTTCTTTCTCGGGTGCCGCCATTGTGTTGGTTGTTCATGCTTGGCTTCAGAATATTCTCCATTTTCACTTATCAAAACAGCCATTACTAGAGAGGCAACCGATTTCATGTTCTTCGTATACTGAAGGTGACAACTGTGTGGCACCCCAAGAGTTGAACCACACAAGCTAACATTAAAAGGGAGTTCCTCGTCTTTGATAATCTTCACTGGCCTCAGAGAGCAATCACACATCATATGAACTTGGTGCTTCATGAAAAGAATCCTGGCGGCTTGAGGGATATCAGTGGCTGGATAGTGTAGGCCAATATATGGTTCAAGACCAGGTTTTCTAACCTCAGCAATGATCTCACCATGATAATCTTCATGGAACTTGTAAGCCATGACTCTATCATATCCCACTAAGTCAAAGATTTCTTGTACCAAAGTATGGCACAAGACCTCCATGCTTCCACCTGGCACTGACTGGATCTTTGATACTGCCGGCGCTACAAGCATGTAAGACTGCGGCAAAGCCCATGCAGCAGCAGTAGAAAATTCAGATGGCTTCACTGGCTCAAAATCTACCATTAGACAATCAGTCCCAGTCACCTGATGGGCAATGGCATAAAAGAGCTTGCCTGATGATCTGCACTCAACTAGGACTGGATTCGGAGAAGAAACATCAGCAGACCTTAGTACCATATATAGTGATGTGGCACTATATTCCATGAAAAGCGACAACACATTGGTCCCAAGGGACAACATTGGGGATTCATAGATACTTGGCACTACATGGCAGACTGTGCTAAGCATCTCGGGTGCATTCTCACTGAATGCAATGACATTGAGGCTCTTTGCATCAAGCACCAACAAGCAACCAAATGGTTGCAAGTATGCTATGTCCTTCTCTGAACGCCCCTGATGTAGATTATTTGAAGTGGTCCCCTCTAACAACATCGGGTAGCCGAAGGAATTACGAGAATCTTCATATTTTGTGCCAAGTTCAGAGTCAACGGTTATTTGTGCTAACATACTTGCTAGGGAACTCTGGCGAGTTCTGTTAGAAGAATTGGAGAATTGTGTTGTATGTCTTGGTGAAAACATTTTGTACCTCAAGTATATGATCCGCTCAAAGGTACTTCCACTTGTACCACCCCTGCCTTGATAACACATCAAGTGAGTAACCGCTATTGAAATTTGAAAACAAAAGACCTAGTGTACTAGAGGGAATATACAAGGTGAAATTTTCAGTAATCACAAAGCCGCTGACAAGACTATATACAGTGTGAGTGTAGCAGTACAACCTTTTGTTCTGTAGTGCAATTTATCATACGTGTTTGGGATACAAAACATATTGTTTAATTACAACCATTTCTCCACAATACATGGGTGGCACTGGCACTGTCTACATCCAACGCTCACTCTACAATTAGAGCCGGTTCCATGGTTAGTGATAACAACTTTTTCGACGGTTGTTTTGCAGTTGAAGTACAAGGAACATTTTTTATTAACTCATAGTTAGTGATTAACAGGGTGACAATTCACAGTTAGTGACTAACACGGTGATTAGAGTTAATGAAATTTACAGTGCTTAGAGTTTTCAACAAGTAGCTAAAGTTAAACAGTGTCCATAGGTTTTCTATGGATGCTGCGGTTCTCCATATGGTCCCTTTGTGGACTTGTCTGTACGTCGCTCCCTACCTCAGCATTTAGGTATCCATACTAATCCCAATCCCACAATAGGTTTTCTCCCTTCTTTTTCCTATTACTACGAGCTAGCAAACATAAAGTTGAGGGTACACAGATGAGAGCGAACTAAGAGAAATTAAAGATCCTTGATGCAGAACCAACCAAGTACTAGTAGCCAGTGAAGCTGTTAACACCAAAACATTTTCAGATTTGAGGGTTGCCAACTAATCGGAGGTAATAAAAATAAAAACAAGCTGGGAATGGAAGGAACAAAAATAATGCAGGGCCGGCTGCAGAGGACTTACCAGGGCAGTAGTAGGCAGCGAGAGCCCGATCTGTTTGTTGCCCCCTGCCTGCGGTCCTGCCAATCATATATGCATATGCATGTGGTCTCCACCTGGTGCAAATTTATAGGCGCTGCGCGCATGGATCGGAGCTTCCGCTCGTCACGCCGCCGAACGACCCCATTCGCCGTCAGGCAGTCGGTTTACCGCCAGCTGCATATGCGTGTTCGGTCTGCTCCTGAAATCGGCGGTGATGTTTGCCGTTTCCGGGATGCATCCTTTGCAGCGCTGGGAGGCCTCCACGTCTCCCTGTAATCCAGATGGGGCAATTTGCGTCACGGGGAAAACGGACAATCATTCGCATTTGTGGAAGTAATAGCCTCAATCGACACGGTTTGGTGCTCAGCACAAAAGGCATTCGGTTTCATTTCCCTGCGAGAATTCTGCCGAACCACTAGGGGTCCGTGTGGTGGTGTGCTAGATTGCCACCTTTATGCCTTCCGTTGGAGATGGATGCAAAATGGAGTATATATATACAATCGGTGTAACACCCTAAAATTGGTATGATTTTAAAATAGGAGAAACTAATTTAATTATGTATTTTGTGAGTATTTAAATTTATAAAAATAATAACTTTGTTAAAATTAAAATCAAATATAAGGTTTATATGCATTCATGCTGCTGCATATTATGTCTGTGTTGTGTGGTATGAAGTCAGATTTTAAATTGATTTGAATTTGCAATCAAAATTTGTTTGGAAATTAGTTTAGAAAATAGAAAAGGATTTTTCTCTCCCTTCCTTGATTTTGGCCCGCCGCAGCCCAGGTCGGCCTGCTCTCCCCGCCGGCACAGTCGCCCCGCTCGGCTTTTCCCACTCCCCTCGAGTCTCCGTGAGGGTCGTTTCCCTTGTTTCTCTCCGTAGCGGCCCAGCAGCGCGCCCGGGCCGATCTGTTTCCGCTGCGCTGAGTCGCTGACCAACTGGCCCCAATTGTCAGTCTCCTTCTTCAACCTCCCGCGCGTATCAGCATCGGACACCGCCGTCACCGGGAGTCCGCGCCGCCCACGCCGCTCTTCCTTGCCTTGCGCTCCAAGCCGCTTCCGGCTATAAAAATCAGATGCCCGCATCGTGCCACGCCTATCTCGAGCTTCGGAGCCGCTACTGCCCTCGCATCGCGCCGAACCACGCTAACCCTAGCGCCGCCGCCATCACCATCCACCAAGCCGAGCGCCGCGCTTCTTCTGTGCCCCCACCGCCGACGCTAGCTACCTTGGTGAGTTCACCTTACTTTCCTCTATCCTCCGGTGTCTTCGGCTCGTGAATTCGTGGACCGTAGGCTTAGATCGATTGCGCCGCCGTGCTGGCCATGGCGCCGCCGCCGCCAGGCTCATCGTCGACCATGTCGGCAGCCACTCCCCCGCTTCCATCTTGATCTGGTTCGGTGATTTTAAGTCCAACGGTCTAGATTCACCTGTACCCCTTCACCTATTGTTTTTGCAAAAAAGCCCTTACAATTATTTGGATCTTAACCCACCATCTCTGAACTTTTGTTAAAAAGTCCCTGCCTTTTCTTCAAATTATGGCCGCAGCCCCGGGTTCGGTTTAAAATCATATTTTAATTATTTTAAATTCAAAAATCAAGTTTCATCTATTTACAAAACTACCACTATCTTCTGTAGGCCATAAAATCTCCGTTTTAACTCTGATTTGATCCGTTCAACTTGCGTTAGGTTCGTAATTCCATAATCTACATGTTCATACTACTGTTAAGTATGTTTTCAACTTTTAAAATTTAAGGTTGGATTTAATCTATTATTTTACTAAAGGAAATCTTGTTTAATTCATAACTTCTTTATTTTAGCTCCGATTTTTATGATCTTCGCATCTGTGTGTTCGTAGTGAGACGTAGATTCGTTTTACACACTTTTCATCTTGATTTTATGTTGATTGGTGTACTGTTCTAATATATAGCTTTTGTTTGCTATGCATGATTACTTCTGGATGCTTGTATATTGTCTGTGATTGTCGAGTATAGATGGTGAGCAATTCGTGGGTCATCAAGAGTACTATTTTGATGAGCAGGATCAGCAGGAGCACTTTGTCCAAGGCAAGTATAATATGAGGCTCCTTGTTACCTATTCACTTTAATACAACCTCAATTCATATGCATATGTTAATGAACCAATTGGAGTCTATTTACCTTGATATTGATTATCCTTTCCTTGATTTACCTATGGGTTTTGCATGTGGGTAGTATGCTCAGTTTGCTCTAACTAATATTGATTAAAGAATACAATTAAAGATATATACAACATGGTATTAAAAGATGCTTTTTAGCAACATAGAACCAAGAGGGCTAGAGCATTGGGCCTTTTCTTGTGGTGCTCTAGTTTCTCTCCATAAGGACTCATCTTTAAGTGGCAACCCATGACTTACACTACAACCATGACGACCACATGGCTCTGGTCTTAGTCCAGTACCTTGCTGTTTCTAGTTTGTAGCAGTTTATTGAAAAGGGCAAAAGGGGCATACCAGGCTGGGTATCGGCCTCATCCCCAGGTTGTGTACTATGCTGTGAGTATTAGTGCCATTTTTGGAGATGACTCCATAACACTTGGGAGATGGAATCCTTAACAACTGCTCCTTATTAGAACGATTGGGAAAAAGCTTCATAGTGTACCCTGCCTGCTCACCTTGGAAGTGTTTTAGGAGTAATTAACCCGGGCATATGGGCAACACAACTTATGATGAAAGTGTACAGCCTCTACAGAGTGTAAAACTGGTATATCAGCCATGCTCACAGACACGAGCGCCCTAGATCCTTACTGAATAGTTGGTTAATTAGATAGTTTGGGTTATGATTAAAATTGCTAATATCTCTAATTATTCAAATTTGGGATCCTAAGCATAACTTAGCAACTTATGATTAATAATAAAATATGACCAACTAAAAGTGCTTACCGCAGTTCAGCCGCGTCAAGCCTTTTGAGCTTGCATCCCCTCATGTTATGCTTGCTAAGCGGTAATAGCTTACGCTTGTTTTATTTTAATACTTTGCCAAAATTCCGGATGGGTACCAGATGGAGGTTCTTCAGTGGAGTTTTCTAAGAGGTGTTAGGCTTGTGATTAACCAGTTAACGATTCCTGGGGTGTTGGAGGCTTCGCCAGAAGAATAGAGTTATAGTATATAGTTTAAAGTAAGACTATGTCTTTTGTAACAAATATTTATGTGCTATGTAATAAAGGCATTGTCTTTGATATTACTCCTTCATTTATAACTATATGTGTGAATTGAATTCTTGGGCACACATATGGGATGTACCTAGTTTTGTTCTTAAAACTAGGTGCGACAAAGTGGTATCAAAGCTATGTTGACTGTAGGATGCAAGCCTAGTTAGAAAATGGTCGTTTTAAGGTTTAGAATTTGCCATGAAATCCTTGATCTATAAACCTTGCTATTTTCTTCTATGCTATATTCTTATCTTTGTTGTTCATCTCCTCCTTGTTGTTATACATTTTTGTTCCTATCTCCATCCTTTCTTTGAATTGCTTTTAGAGGTATCACTTACCAAATTCTTGCGCAAAATGAAGGTGAAGCTGTAGAGTTTTGGGCCCTTGATACAACAAGAACGCTAGTAATGTGAGTAGAGTCATTGAGTCCTAATGCTTGAATTGTGAACCTTTAATGGTTGAATGGTTGTTTTGATGTTTATGCTTGATTTGGATCTTTGTAATGATTGCAATGATATTGTGGGTATGCTCACAATTTCATTTAGTTTACATGATAAGGCATAAGGACCAATGATTAGATAGTTGGGTTGGTTTTTCTCATCTCTGTGCGTGCTGTTTTTTGAGCAGTCAGTGTTCATTGGGTTATATCTCCAAAGGTAGATGTCCAAAAGTCATGAAAGTTTTATGGATGAAAGTAGACTTCTGTATCTTTCATATGCCACTGGAATCACCTTCATATCTATTATGGTTTGGGTTGTTATGACCTCTACAAGTTGAAGTTTCTGCACTGTCTAGGAGTCTGAACAGTTTCGGTTGTGTTCTGTTTCCGACTAACTTAACCTCAGAATCAAGGTGGTTTATAAGAATGTTGTAGAGAATTTCATAAGCTTTCTAGCCAAATAAGGAACGCCTTCATATGATTTCTAGAACTTGACATATGGCTATCTTTCTAAACTGCTACTGGTAGTTTTCGTCTAGAAAATTTTAGATTGATTGTTTTATCATGTGAACTACTTTCGAATCATGGATTACAACCAATAATTGTGCTAAATGTTGCAAACTGATGGTTTCTATAAAGAGAAGTGCTTCACGTGATGCCAGAATGAATGCCCCCAATGCTAATCCACCGCCACCAAATCATCCAACTATAGAGCAATCTGTGATGATACAGACTCAATTGTTACAGACCTTTGTTCAGAATGTATGCATCAACCCACATCAAGCACCACCAAGGGAAAAGTGTGCTGAATTTATGAAGGGACATCTGCCGACATTCTCTCATGCAAGGGACCCACTAGAAGCTGATGGCTGGCTTAGAACTATGGAACAACAACTTAACATAGCTCAGTGTAATGACCATCCGAAAGTGCTTTATGCTTTCGGTCAACTTCAAGGAGCAGCTTCAGACTGGTGGGAATCATTTTAGATTGAGAAAGATGTAAATCAGATTTATTAGGAAGATTTCAAGACTGCCTTCAGATCTTATCATGTTCTAGAAGGTTTGGTGGAGATCAAGGAGGAGGAGTTCCTCAACTTGAAGCAAGGCTCCATGATAGTGTGTGAGTATTGTAACTAATTCACTCAGCTGTCACATTATGCTCCAAGAGAGGTGGTTAATGATGCCAAGAAAAAAAACGCTTCTTGAAAGGATTGAATGATGGACTTCAACTGTAGTTGATGACTATTGTGTATCCTGACTTCCAAACTTTGGTGAATAGGGCCATTTTGATTGAGAACAAGCGTCAGGAAATGGAAGAGAAGGAAAGGAGAATTGAAAGCCAATCTATAGGTAGCAACACACGCCCCTGCTACACTCCCCCCAAGAATTTTGGCAAAGGTACTAGGAACCAGCTAGTTAGTGGGATTTTGATCCTCCTCAACAACTCCCTCAATACTAGCAAGAGCAACAGTATGTGAACCAGAGTCCACCCCAGGAACCCCTCATCAACTCTCCAATGAAGGATAGTGTGCCCAATACTCTCCCTTCAGGCAAGAAGTGCTACCGCTATGGTGAACCCGGTCACTATGCAAGTCAGTGCCTGAAGAAGCCGAACCACAAACAGCGGAACCATGTGCAAGGCAGAGTCAATTATGTGATAATAGAATCTACACAAGAAGCCCTAGATGTTGTGTTTGGCACGTGTCTAGTCAACTCTAACCTTGCATCAGTTTTGTTCGATTCTGGAGCT